GTGGGAATGGGCTGGAATGACTGTCTTTTAGAGGACTGAATAGCAACGCTGACTAATTGTAAGTCACCCTGTAAATGCAGTTAGAGATTTTGGTTTCTTTTTCTCATTCTTCAAGGGACCTTATTAGCATCATACTGAGACAGATGAAGTGTTTATTTTTAGGTACTTTAGTGTTCGGATAGCCGGCTTCCCAAGAGGAACAATTGCCCTGTTGTTTTGTGCCATTCCAGGAAGGAACACTTGTGCTGGCTGCATTTCCAGGGATGCTTCCGGAGCTCAAGGCTGCCAGCCAGGCCCGCCCACAAGCACCCCCCTCTTAGGCAGGATAGGAGAAGTATTTCAGCCTGACAGAGTAGGTAGGGTTGCTGGAGGTGGCCTTGGAATTGAAGTAGGTACCTTCTTAATTAGATACCTGAACATTTAGTATTTTCTTTGCATGTTACTAGGAAGCTGCATGTTGATAAATATGAATATTATGATTATATATCACTTTTATCTATCCAAAGGTCTGATAGAGTATTTTGCTGAAAAAGGAAAGTTTTGTTTCAAACATTAGCTCAGTATTGTCGAAGCGAATATCTTACACTCACAGAATTTTGTAAGGTAAAAATTGTGGCTGGCCGAACATAGAGTGTCGTCCCTGCTACTCTTCTACTGGTGATTGCAACTTTGGTACAGAAAGGATTAATGAGCCCAGCTGGCTGGCAGAAGCTGCCAGTATAATGTGTATGTATGCTCACTGTTCTGGTTACCTAGTGCCACTCTGACAGAAATATACCACAAATGGGATGGCCTTAACAAACAGGAGTTTATTGTCTTACAATTTGGAGGCTTTAAGTCCGAGTTCAAAGTGCCAGCTCTAGGGTCTGGGTAAAAGCCCCTCAGCCTTGGGCTTCAGCTCTGCCTCTAGCTCCCAGCCCACTGAAGCTGGAGGCTTTTCTTCACTCAGACAGCTGCTGGCTGCTGAGGTTGCCAAGCCCAAGATTGACAAGTAAAAAGGCACAGTCCTGATATTACCAAAACACATGGCAGGTCATTAATTCAAGTCTATTTAAGTCCCAAGGTTGGCAGAGCATGGCAGGCTACTGAACAATGACACAGCTACATGCAGGGTCCAAGCATGCCATAAGCTAGAGACCATTCCCAAAGGTGCTTCTTATATATGGGAAGCAGACCACATCCCTAAAGCAGCTACTCAGCTGCTTGTGGTAGATCCCACCATGGAGTTGATTGCCAGTCTCATCATGGGGAATAACTACCACCAGCTGCCCAGCCACTCAACCAGGCCTAGCCAAGTTGACACACAGACATAACCACCACACTCACTGTTGGTGTTTACATATGTATAATCTAGCATTCCGAGCCATTAGATGTCTTCCTTTGGTATGTCCTCATTGAATGTTTTACTCTCTCTTCCTGATGTCATCATATGTATGCTTGTTGTTGTTGTTGTTATGTGCCGTTGAGTTGGACCCAACTCATAGCGACCCCTCCTTGAGTTTCCAAGGTGGTATCACTACGGACGTAGATTGCCCAACCTTCCTTCCGAGGAGTGGCTGGTGGGTTTGAACCGCCAGCCTTCTGGTTAGCAGTCAAGTGCCTTAGGCACTATGCTACCAGAGCTCCTGTATGTATCTTACATACTTTCTTTTCCTTTCTCTCTCAGCTCCACATGCTTGTCCTTTCGATGGCAATGGAGATAATCACTGCTACCAATTCTAGCATTATTATCAGCTTTGGTACGTCTGGATTTGAGACGACATGAAGGTTGGGCATCCCTGCTGGGTGGCACAAATGGTTAAGCACTCAGCTATTAACTTATTAAAGGTTGATGATTTGAACCCATCTAACAGCTCCACAGAAGAAAAGCCCAGCTATCTGCTTCTATAAAGATGACAGCCAAGAAAACCCTGTGGAACAGTTTTACTTTTTAACACATGGGGTCACTATGAGTCAGAATCGATAGCAGTGGTTTTTTTTGTTTTGTTTTTTAGTTTTGAAAGCTGAGTAGGAAGGTAGCTGAAAAGAGAACATAAATGTGTTTGATTTTGATGGACCTTTTGTCTGTGTATATTCAGCAGTGGATGGATGGAACTATCCAATAAGCCCAACACCAAGCCAACTGCCCCTGCCTTGAGACTGTTCTGATGAAGTGGCTATGCCTGGAAGTGGTGGCAGGAATAGAACACCTTCTTGGCTTTCATCCTGGAGATGTTCATCCCACAGAAAATAAAAGCTGGTATTTTAGAATTGTGGGCAAGATAGTCATATTTTGCACTGACCAGGGGCATGTGTATCTAGGCCAGGATCAGGATCAGGAATAAGGGAATATTTAGGGCAGCAGAAGGAAAGAGGGAAAAAGTGTTGGTGTTTATTTCTGTATACGCTTTTATTTGCGTAAGAGTGTATACATAGAGGTTTAGGGTAGCAGTTTTGGTATACATGCTTTCATATACAATAAACTATTTTTTATCCTACTTAAATATTTTTTACTTATTACCAGACATTCTATTTGTTGATTGACTTCCTTTTGCCACCAAGTTTTATCATGCTACTGATATCCTTTATACATTCTTGTAAAATGTGAAATCAGTTAAAAAATTAGCCTAATGGTCATAAATAAAAAGAAAAGCATATATATTCTCATGTTGGTGATTTTTTTGTTGTTTATTTTGGTCATTCTAAGTTTTCTTGATCTCATCACATCTGTCTAATGGTGTACATCCAAGAACAGTAAATCTAAAAAACAAAAACAAAAAAAGATTGAAAGCAGAAATCAAATGCATGTTTTCTAGTATTCATGAACTGGTCAGGTCCTCTTTTCTGAGAAAGGTGTGAACAAAGCATTGCATTCTGGCTGTACATCAAGAGGAGCCCCTGGGGGCACACAGTCCCCATTACAGTTAAAAATGGACAAGAAGGAAAGACTCCATCAGTGTAGATACAGGTTTTAAGAACTGTGAAGACAGGAGTTGTATAGTTTGGTCAATGGCCAGTAAGAGCAGATGAATAATACACCATTCCTGACTCTAACCCATGTAGTTCTCTGGTGCCCATAGACTAGCAGGCATTGGGGCCCTAACTTGGAAGGAAAAAGACAGTGCCTCTATGGACATTTAAAGATTGAACATAGTTAATCCAACAGCAGAAGAAGGTCGTAGGAAGTGGCTCTGGCTCAGATTTCTTGGTCAAAAAAGAACCTTACGCTAAGAAATATATACACAGTATGCTGGTGTTTAACTGAATCACATCTCCAAATAAGTAGGAGGGCAGGATTAAGAAAATGTTTGAGCAAAAGAATTATGATGGACAGTATAATTTCTGAACCTAGGTTGGTACTTTAAGCCTTCCCATTACCAGATGCAAGCAGTGGATCCTTTGAGTCCTTATGTAACCCAGCCATCCCCAGATCTAACCCACTTGTGGGTACAGCTGGAGTAATTAATTATTAAGGATAATGGCCCACATGCCACTGGCTCTTGTCCCCTTTCTGATTCGTGATCTTCAAAAATTATCCAAGTTTCACTTCCCATTGCTACATCTCTGTTAATGTAACATGGTCCATAGCAAATTTTAGTCCTAGTGTAGTTGCATTCTGCTTCTCAGATGTGTGTGGAAGCTGTCTGCTATTGCTTGGTATTGCAGAAATGCAAATACATGTTGATATTTCCCCCAAGCAAAACATGATTTAAGGCAAATCTATTACCAACATTATTACATGTATTAAAGCTGAATAAAAATAATGGGGAGTTTTTCATACTGCCACACCCTCCTGTTAGTATAGATAATTGAGAACTGACTATGCACACAAATCAACCTTTAACTAATTGTCCAAAGACAGTAATAGCAATTAAGGGCTAATATTAAGGGACTGTTGATTGTATTGTGCTTTCTGTTTGTTATAGGAAGAGAGTTGACATGAAATAAAGCAGGTGAGTAGGTGAATTTTGAGTGTTTCCTGATAACCCTGCATGTGTGATTCTGCATGCTTGAAGATAGAACTATGCACATGTTATCTGTGTTTACTTCCCTTTCTTGGAGTTAGACTTAACTTGTTTATAACACTTACATTGGGTGTTCCATGCTTCATTTTTCCTCAAGTGAGTGTATATATGTACAACCATAGTTTCCAAGACTCATATTGAAACAAAGTTTGAAACTGAAAACTCAGACAACAACCCAAACTCAAACCCATTGCCACTGAGTAAATTCAGACTCATAGTGACCCTATAGAACAGAGTAGATCTGCCCCATAGGGTTTCCAAAGTGGTAAATCTTTACGGGAGCAGACTGCCACATCTTCCTTCTGTGGAATAGCTGGTGGGATCAAACCTCCAACCTTTGGTTAGCAGCCAAGTGCTTTAATCACTCCACCACCAAGGCTCCTTACTCAAACAGTAACAGTAAAGGTATATATAATGGATTTCTTTAGACTGAGAAGGTGAGAGTGGTCTGTTCTATTGAAATATTCTTATCTCTATCAAGATACTTTCTGAAAAAAATCTTAACATTTTTCCTGAAGTGTTCCCTTCTTTAGCATCTTCCACTATTAAGAGTATTTAGAAAACTGTCATTAATACCAGTATACTCTAAATTACTTACTCTATATTGAATAGATTTGATTGAAAATTTAATCGATGTGTTTCTGAAATGTGTCCCATTCTATTTTCAAGGGGACCAGAATTTGTTACATGTTTCAGAGGAAAAAGTGTCTTCTATTTAGTCATACAGTGCTCTAGATTGAATTTCCCACCTGTTGGGAGCCTTAATTCTTTCTCTATGATCATATTTATGGATTGGAATGACCAAGCACAGAAATCACACTCTTCTGTCCTGGGGGCAGAGATGTGTGACAGTCTGATGAGATGAAGGGAATTTAACATTTTAAGCCTATTGCTTCTAATTGTTGAAGCCCAGAAAACTCCATAAAGTGCTTTTCAAGGACACCTTTCCTGTGAACCATTCATATATTAGAATCTCTTTTTTCTTTGCAGACCCTTCATGTGGCCTTTTTCATATGCGTTTGAGACAGAGAGTTGGATGCAGAAGATGAAAATGCCTGGAAGATTCCTGGTTTCTTTCAATACATTCCCACCCTTACTACATCTCGGCCTGATGTGGATGATATGCTGTTCTGAAGGCACCTTAATCTAAGTCAAACCTTCAAGAGAAACGTCTGGCAGGAGATTGTACACATATAAGTCAAAATGGCCAGCCAACCACCAGAAGATGCCACAGAGTCACAGGTCTCGGACGAGCTAGAGTGCAAGATCTGCTATAACCGGTACAACCTGAAACAGAGGAAACCCAAAGTGCTGGAATGTTGCCACAGGGTTTGTGCCAAATGCCTCTACAAGATCATTGACTTTGGGGACTCCCCACAAGGGGTCATCGTGTGTCCCTTCTGTAGGTTTGAGACTTGCCTTCCGGATGATGAAGTCAGCAGCCTGCCTGATGACAATAACATCCTTGTGAATTTGACTTGTGGAAGCAAAGGAAAGAAGTGCCTGCCGGAGAACCCCACTGAGCTGCTGCTGACCCCCAAAAGACTGGCCTCTCTTGTGAGTCCTTCACACACGTCCTCCAACTGCTTGGTCATAACCATCATGGAGGTGCAGCGTGAGAGCTCCCCATCCCTCAGCTCTACGCCTGTGGTGGAGTTTTATAGGCCTGCCAGCTTTGACTCTGTTACCACCGTGTCACACAACTGGACTGTATGGAACTGCACGTCCCTGCTTTTCCAGACATCAATCCGGGTGTTGGTTTGGTTGCTAGGTTTGCTCTACTTCAGCTCCTTGCCCTTAGGGATCTACTTACTGGTATCTAAGAAAGTCACCCTTGGGGTCGTCTTTGTCAGCCTCGTTCCTTCTAGCCTTGTTATCCTCATGGTGTATGGCTTTTGCCAGTGTGTCTGTCATGAATTTTTAGACTGTATGGCACCTCCCTCTTAATAGGGCGGCAAAGTAAGAAATTTGACACACGTTGCCATGCTAGCAGTTAGGTAATTTATAACTTATTTTCTTTTTTACACCCTTTTTGATTAGGGTCTGCTTGAACAATTTCAGAAGAATCAGCACAAGGCCCATGAGGCAGAGGTTAAAGATGTCCAAAATGTCCTAACTACTGTGCCACTCCATCATTTCAGACATTAACTCCTCCTCCTCCTCCTCCCAGTAGTTTCCCCAATCTTAGGGTTCTGTATTTCATTGTAATGCCTCACAGAACTCACAGACACCCAAAGGATTTTCTCACGTAGTGGTGGTAGAGGCTGGCAGGCTGGTGAGTCGCAGGTCCGTGAGGTGGTCTCGAGGATCCTCCCAATTCTCGGGGTTTGATGAACCTCGATCAGCAGGTCAGATGACAGCTGCTATCCCAAATACAGAAGTGAGATGAGGATGAACCAAAACAGAGAATTGGAGCAAGAGGAGGGCAAACCTTCCCAGACGATTCATAGGTATACCCTCAAGGAAGCTAAGGGTGGTGATTTGAATTATAGCCTCCAGCAAGGCAGGACTCAAGATACATTCCACCTGTGTTGCTCCAATAGCAATAACCCAAGTGGATGGCTTTAACAATCAGCAGCTCAAGGCAAATCCCACCACAGAGCTGATTGCCAGTCATTATAGGGAATGACTACTACCAGCTGCCCAGCCAAGTTGACACCTGACCTTAACTACCACAGCACCCCAAACAGGCATGGATGACAGGATTTACAATACATCACAGAATGGAGGACAATGGCTAGAAAGGCCACATCAAGCAGTTCACCACATCGCACCCCCCTGGCTCTTCTAGCCATTAGCCCTTTCATACTTGAAAGATTAGTTTGCCCCTCCCAATCATATTACCTGTCCCAAAGTCATTAATATTTAGTCTTTCAGTAAGGCAAAGAGTCCTCAGGGTGAGATTATTCAGATACCAGCCATTCAGATCTGCTGTGTTTATCCATCTGATCCAAAAGTTTTTCTCATTATCATCTTTTATGGTATCTGATAATATTTAACTGAGATAATACTATTCTCTTGTTCTGAGTCTATCTTTAGGTATCAGCATAATGTTGGATTTCCTCCACTGCATTACCCATTTGTTCATTCCTTTCCCTTCAGCTGTTATTTCTACTTCCTTCCATTCATCATTTATTTTTACCCAGACTTTCTCACCTTGGGAGGAGACATCAAGTTCAGCTGTTGTGCCTATCCAGATTGCTGGTAGCAAGATCAGTCTGGAAAGTACTTCCCCCTCAGTCCATTCCCATTCATGCTGGGTATGGTTACACAGGTACAAAACCAGTGGACTATCTCGACCACTGGGCAGGACGGAAGTATTCACTGTCAGCCCGTTTGGCCAGATGAAGAGAAGGTACAATCCATCTCATAAGGCCCTTGGGAATTCTGGCATACAGGTTCAGGGGTATAGAAACAGTCTCTTGCTTAGGGATCACCCCAGCCTCTGGCCCCCGCAGCTGCATCCCAGGTCCGGAGACCACAGCTTCTGGCAGGAAGAAAGCAATGTTAGGTGATGTGGGGAAAAGTTACACAGTGACACCAGCATCCTCCCCCACCCCTTCTTCCCTAGATCCCCCAGAAAAGTGTAGGCATCTGTCAAGTGGTGATCCTCCCTTCGCACCTCTCATGTTGAGTGTGAACACACAATCATGAAGGCGTGTGAGCCAGTCCTTTAGGCCTTTATCTCCCCCACTTTTAGACAACAAATGTTTCAATTGCCCATTCCAGTTATCTATCAAACCATTGCTTTGAGGATGGTATGCAACATGGTATGTCCACTTAATATGTTTTTTGGCCCATTGCTGCACCCTACGGGATGTAAAGTGTGTTGCTTGGTCTGAGGAAATATAACTTACTTGGTGGTCCAAATTCATCCAGTATCATTTGTTCCAATCTTTAATTGGTGTTTTTGGTATTTCCATCTGTCACAGGATAAACAAAGCCCAGTACAGAGTATGTATCTATTCCTGTGAGGACCCATTTATAGCCACCTGGAGCCACTGGTGTCATTGGCCCTGTATAATTGACTTGCCAGCTATGTGCATGGTCTTCCCCCTGGGAATCTGCCCCATAGCCATCTGTAACCTCTGTCTTTCTTGCTGACAGACAGAGCAGTCCTTACTGGCATTTTGTGCCTCAGAGGGTGCAAGAGGGATGTGCCTTGATTCAGCCCATGTCTGCATTTTTGCAGCACCCCTATGTCCACTCATCTCATGAACCCAATTGGCCACCTCAAGGGAGCATACCAACATATATCCACTTGTTGATTCCAATCACCTTCTGATCCAGGAAGGAGATTCTTCTGATGGGTGTCAACATAGCTTACTCTAATGCATCCTCTGAACTCCCAGAGTGCTTTCCAGAGATACATGCCCCACACAGGGGTCTCCTTAATAGTCCAATTTTCCATTGCCCATTTTCCTGACCATATAGCCAGGCCACTGGGGACTGCCCATAAATCAGTGAAAATCCAAACATACGGGCTCTCACCATTGTCCAATTATTTAATGACAGCTAAGAAGACAGCATGCAGTTCAGTCCATTGGGCTGACCTGTTTTTACCTTCTTCAATAAGGGTCTTTCTGTCTGCTGGTCTTAATGCAGCAGCTTTCCATGTCATTTGTTGTCCATGTACCCTGGAGCTGCCATCTGTGAACCAAGCAGCCTTCTGTTGATCCATAGAAAGTTGTTCATAAGGCACTGTCCATGTGGCAATGGGTTATGGCAGCCTCTCAGGTGGTTGCAGGGTAGAACCTATAGAAAAGGAGGCTAACTGCTCATGGACATGATGGGTGCCTCCTTGCACCCCTCAGTTGCTTGTTCTTGAATAAACCATTTCCATTTTATTATGCAACTATTTTGGGCACCACCTTCCTTATTAGAATGTTTCTCTGATATCACTCAAGACATTATGGGTATGTTAGGTCTCATAATAATTTTATGCCCTTCTGTCATTGAGGCAGTCTCAATCAATGCCCAATAGCAGGCAAGCAATTGCCTTTCAAATGGTGTCTATCATGCTGCACCATCTGGAAACTTTCTAGTCCAAAATCCCAGTGGTCATCATAGGGCAGCATTCTCAGGTTTTTGTCATAAGCTCCAGTCTGCATAAGCACTTATAGCAGACACCTCCAAGATCATGTCTGAATGTGGATCATAAGGACCTAAAGGCAAGGACAGTGAGGCTGCTTTCTGTATTTCAGACATAGCCTGCTGTTGCTCCGGCCCCATTCAAATGTACTTTTCTTCCTAGTGGCTTTATGGATAGGAGCTAGCAATATACCCAGATGTGGAATATGTGTTCTCCAGAATCCAAATAAACCAATTAAATGTTGGGCTTCCTGCTTAGTCTTGAGAGTAGGTAGTGACAGCAACTTATTTTTGGTTACTTGTAGAATGTCATGGGTGGCTCCTGCCCAAGTTATTCCCAAGAATTTCACTGTTTGGGCAGGGCCCTGGATTTTTGCTGGATTTATTAACCATCCTCTATTGATCATGTGGGCCACCACTGTTTTCAAATCTGCTCTAGGCTGTTCTTTTGTGTTTGATATCAACATAATGTCATCAATGTAATGTATCACCATACTTGAAATCTGCACCAAGTCCAAGTGTCTCTTAACCAAGCCATGACAGTAAGCTGATGAATTCAAATAAACCCTGGGGCAAAACTCTGAAAGTATACTGAGAGCCTTCCCATGTGAAAGCAAACTGTGACAGACTCTTTTCCAAGACTGGTATGCAGAAAAAGCCGTTTGCAAGATCAATCACTGAGTACCAGTCTCCTTTGGCCTGTATTTTCTGCACCACTGATACCATGTCTGGAACAGCTGAAGCCACCAGTGGCACTACTTTATTTAGGCCTTGGTAGTCTACTATCAGTCTCCATGAGCCATCTGCCTTTTTCACAGGCCACATAAGGCTGTTATACAGAGAATTTGTTGGCACTAACACTCCAGACTTTAGCATGTCTTTAATCAAAGCACTAATTTCCTTCTGTCTACCAGTTATCCTGTACTATTTCAAGTTAACAACCTGAGTGGGTTCAGGCAATTCTAATGGTTCCCATTTAGCATATCCAATTAATACTGGCCTAAGGGCAGAGTTACACGCTTTCAATTTTACAATATCTGGTAGAGGGAGATTTCTCCAATTAGACATAATATCCATACCAATAATACATTCAGGTAAAGGAGATACAACTACTTCATACAACATCTGTTTAAATCTTCCAATTCTCATCCAAACTTTCACCTTAGTCCCATCAACTGTTGCATCCCCATATCCCCCTAGTGTAACCTTAGCCCCTTCAACATTTCATTGATGGGTTTTGGGATGATGGTACATTGGGCTCCTGTGTCCAAGAGTCCCAAGAAGGTCTCTTCCCCACCCCCAGGCCATTTTACCCACACACACGTGCATATGGCCTCAGGTCCCCTGGTGGGGGCTGGACTAGAAGATCCTGGCCCCCTTGTCAGTCTCTGGCTTCATCAATTAGCTGAGTCTCTGCTTCAACTGGTCCCAGGTGGGAGTTCCTATTAAATTCCTCCTGAGTAGAGTGAATAGAACGAACTTGTTTAGGCCTCCTTAAGGTGGGGGAACCAGTAGGAGTTTCCATTGGTCTACCCAGTCTCCTGTAGTGCTGCATCGGTACCCTTGTCTCAACTCCATCAATGGATGCTATATTCATCCCATTCCTTAACAACCATCGAAAAATCTCCGACCTGCTGAGATAAGTGCTTTCCCTATTGCCCCTTTCCATTCTCCTATTAATCACTCTTATGCTTCTTGCATTTGTAAGACCCATGCGGGGAAGTTGTGCTAATAGACCTGACATGGCTTCTCGAATTGTTGCTTTGTTTTGCAACAGCAGAGTTACATGGGGTGCCCATGTAGAAGGGGCTCCCCTGATTACCATATCTACCATGATCTGTGTAAGGGGCATTCTC